GCGGAACCAGGGATTGAACTCAGATCCTGCATTTGCCAGTCAAGTACTTATCCTACTAAGCCAGCTCCCCGGCCCCCTGAGTTTTCTTTTTTAAAACAACTTCTGCACCCTGGCAAGCGCAAGGGCCTGAGTTCAATCCCTGGTTCTGCCACAAAACAAAAACAAAACAAACAAACAAACAAAAAAAAACCTTCTGCAAATCAGAGAAGCGAGCTGCATTTTTATCATGGAATCTGGGTGGTTTCTTTTGGTAAGTAGAGAAGTATGCCTATGAAGCAGTAGAAAGATCACCTCTTGGTTAGCTCAGTGAGTCAAGAGACTTCTTCAGCTGAGACAGGGTGATGTTGTTGAATTCTGCTGCTGTTCATTGGCATTGTCTTCAGTCTCATCACCATTACTGTAAAAAGTGTTAAACTTACATGTATTACTATTTCTTCTCTATCATCCGTTACCAGTGGGTCAGAGTTAACTTGTGTGGGTCAGACATACCCTGTTGACAATGCTTTGGCCATGGGAAAGGCTTGTCCTTCTGCAGCTGAATCTCCTTTCAGCCAATCTCTAGCTGATTAGTTTACATGCATACTTATACACATTCCAACCCTGATAGCTCTCCTAATGCCACTCAAAAGTAAAACGGCATCAGTATCTAATTCGGAAATTATTGACAACTCAGTGTGTCCAGACTTCTTCCCATATCGAAATGCTGCCATAAATCTCTTGGTATGAGCTCTCTAATTCCAGTCTGCCATACTCAGAAAGGATGACAATCTTCCTCTCTGTGAAAGTTTGATTCTAGCTTTGTTGACAGCGTGATCTGCCGCCTTAAGGTAAACCCATTGCTGGCGTTGGCATGCTTTCCTCCGGCTTCCACATGAAACCTTGAGCTCAGCAGGATCCTTAATTGAAAAGCCTTTCAGACTGAATTACTTCACTTTATTTTCTAGCCTAGATAATGTGTAGCCTCGGAAAGTACTTATCTTGCTGGCAGCTTGCCCTTGCTGGTGCTCTGGGTAGCAATGAACGCTGATGAAAGAAGAGAGTGCACAACTCAAGTATTTAATTGGCCCATATCTTGATCCACTAGAAAACTGGCTATGATAGGAAATCATTTGTAATAGTCATTTCTAGCTAATTTAAATTAGTGGAATATGAATCAGTCTGTCATAGTGTAAGTAGGTGAATGCAAAGAAAATAAAACCCAGAAACACAGAGTGAAAAGTTACGAGGTTCTAAGTACATACCGCAGGTTGAGAGGCTTCCTCAGACAAGAAAAGACCCATAAATCCTTAAGGAAAGTATTCGCTAGTTTGATTTCATTTAGAAATAAAGGGGAAATACGGGCTGGGAGATGGCTTGGTGGTCTCAGCACCTGCCTGGCAAGCACAGGGTCGCAAGTTCTATCCTCGGTACTGCATGCCTTGCTGTAACCGGGTGTGGTGGTGCACACGTATAATCCCAGCTCTGGGAAAGCTGAGAGAGGAGGATCACTATGAGTCTAAGCTGCATAGTGAGGCCCTGTACCAATTAATTACTTAAAAAATAAAATAAAAAATGAAGGGGAAGTAACTCAGTGGTAGATCATTTGCATAGCATGTGCAGAGGCCCTGCCTTCAATCACCAACAGGAAAGGGAATTTAAAAAAAAAAAAAGAAAATTTTTATTTATTAAAAGCATCATAAGGGCTGGGAAGACAGTTTGGCAGTCTAAGCACCTGCCTGGCAAGTGCAAGACCCCTGTTCAGTCCCCAGTACCACATGCCATGTTGGCTCTGGACCCCCGGGCACACTGTACTGGCCACCAAAACTGGGTGTGGTGGTGTATGCCTGTAATCTCAGCACTGGGGAAACTGAGACAAGAGAGTCACTATGAGTCCAAGCTAAGTAGCAAGACCCTGTACCAAATAAATAAATATTATTTTAAAAAAGAAAAACACCTTAAACATGTCAAATTGCAAACTACTAGATAGGGAAAAATAGTTAATATAAATGATGTAAAATGGTTGATATTTTTTTTAGGGCACTATCAGGGATTGAACTCAGGACTCTGCACAGGCAGGCACTTATTCTACTGAGCGATCTCCCCTGCCCAGGTTAACATTCTTAATGTGCATTTAAAGACTTCTACGAATAAGAAAAATAGGCAAACCACATAAAAAGATAATTAACCTTAGTGGGTAGTCAAGGAAATTAAAATGAGACAGAATTTTGGCCTATTTGACTCAATTTAAAAGTTTACAGTAATTGTCAGAGGTATAGAGACATGAACGTTTGTAGTATTAGGGAGCACTGCATATTCTGAGAAATCATGTAAGGAGGGGAACAATGGGATATGTACGGACAGTGGGGAGTTCAAGTTTTTATTTCAATATCTCAGTTCTTTTTTTAAAAAGAGCTTTGAAGCAAGCATGGTAGTGCCATAGCATTTTTTTAATCCATGGGTGGAAGGCTCAAAGGTATTTGGTGGATAATCTTGCATATTTGTTTATACTGTAGTTTGTCTTTACCAATTCATTTCCTTCTTGGAATTTGGTAGTTTACTTTGGGGCTTTTTGTGAAAAATTCTGTGTTGTCTACTCTCTTCTCTTGCTCCATCAGAATTCATTACGTGGGTGCTCAAAATTGCTTTCCCATGGTTTGTTGTTGACCAGAGTGCAAAATTGTACAACTTTCTAGCTCTTTTGAAATTGGACTTAAAGTTATGTCATCTTCTGTGAATTCCAGAAAATTAAGTCAACCAAGAAGTTCCAGATCCAATAGAAATTGCTTTAGGATTAACCATTTGAATTTTTAAAAAATTTATCTTAGTTACATGTAAGATCAGGTACTACAGAAATTGCAAAGATACTGCTTAAAAAATAATGAAAACATTAAGGATTTTAAAATCCTCATCATAGATGCTAATACAGAAGAAAAGTAAAAGCAATATTTGGGTAATCAATTGTGACTACGTCTAGAATTTGCCATGGTTCCCAGTGGCATAAAGAAAGATCCTTTTAGACCTGCAGTGGTTATCAGCAATTGTAATTATTCACATCCTTAGATATGGCTCACACTTTGGAAGGCCTCTCTGGGTCTTATTTAGGATTATAAGGTTATCCTTTAAAAAAATATATTTATTTATTTGGTACAGGGTCTCACTACGTAGCTCAAACTTATTTATTTATTTATTTATTTATTTATTTATTTATTTATTTGGTAGAGAATCTCACTACACAGCTCTAACTCATAGTGATCCTATCTCGGCCTCCCCAGGGCTGGGAGTATAAGGATGCACCACTACTCCCAGCTTTGGTGGCCAGCACAGCATGCGGTATCGAGAATCCAACCTGGGTCCTTGCACTTGCCAGGCAGGCGCTTAGACCACTGAGCTATCTCCCCAGCCCGATTATCCTTCTTTTGATGTGAATCTGAATGAAGCCTGAATAACCTACATAAGAAAATATTTGCTGTGATTGTCTCCATTTATCTCTTTATGATATCCATTTTTCTTCTTCCAGGAAATAACCAAGACCCTTGGCGAAAGTATATTAAAATTTATTTAACATGTGATTTGAATGGCCCCATCCTTTGTTATTACTTGGGTTCAGTTTGATTTGTTTCTTTTCTTTACCTCACATCTGGGTGTATTTTCTTCTTTCTCAAAATATTGTAGACCCTTAACCTAACATCAAGACAGGATAAGGATCACAATGGGATAAAGAGAATGTGGTGTTAGGGCCGACCAGAGAGCTCAGTGGACTAAAGTGCCTGCTTAGGCAAGCACAGGGGACTGGGGTTCGAACCCCATGCTGTGCTGGTCCCACCCCTAGGCACGCTGAGATGGTGAATGAGACTGGGCGTCGTGGTGCGCGCCTGGAATCTTAGTGCTTGGGACACTGAAAACAGGATCACTACGAGTCTGATCTGGCAGTGAAACCCTGTAGACCCTGTACTAAGTACATTTTAAAACAACATTTCAGATAGCTCAAACATGTAACTTAAGAAAGGAGTTAAGGTGGTTCTGTGCTTTTCTACCATTAAATAATGTGCCCACAAAATTAGGGAAGAAGGTGTATGCACAGTGAAGACACTTGAATAATGTTTCGGGAAACCCATTTTTATTTTCTTATTATTCATTTTCATTTCCTAAGCACCGGGATCCTCAGATAAGAGGTCACCATGTCTTTGATGTTTAGATTGAACACCGATTTTTCACTATAATCAGTGTCACTTAACTGCATTGACTGTAATATGGGCCTGGACTCCCTTGAGGAATGAACATTTTCCTGAGTTAGCATATATGCCCCTGTGGGACCTCTCTGGGTTTCATTTGTAGTATGTTCTATCGTTCCACAGCAAGAGCTGGACCAAGAATTCTTTGAGTTTTGTGTGAGTTTTGTACTCAAAAGATAAAGAACATTTTGTTTTTTTAGTGTCCTTTTCCTACTTCTCTATACATTAACCTACAAAAATGTACTGTTATTATGAATTTAAAATGCACTAAGTACATTGGGTCTGTGGTTTATGGCCAGGAACCAGTTTTCTGACCCAGATTCTGTGTTTTAATACACTGTGAATCTCTAATTTCTCATGGACAGAGCCTTGGGAAGGGTTTTTCCCTCCATTTTTATTTGGTAAGCTTGCTTTATTCAAGATTAGTTCTAAAAGAAGTTTCTTTTGAGTTTAATCTGTAAAGTGCACAGAACTATTCTAGATTTTTCTCTAACAAAGTACTGACTATTCTTTTTTCTTTTGAACATTCCTACCAAGGTCTCCACAAAATGTGAGGTCTTTTCCTATCTGTACAGATAGGTAATAGTTACAGCAACTTGGAAGTCAGGGCATGTTTGCTGTTTTAAAGTTATTCACTCCTGATGCGAGATATTAGTAATAGGATATTTATTTGTAACTCAGATTCTTAGCTTACTTATCATGTCTCCTTTATATATCTCCAAGAGAGAAACAGATTTTACTTTACTTTTTCTCTAACAAGGCTAAATATATTGTATAGGAGATGCCAATTTTATCTGGAAGGCAGTGCAAAAACATTATTATGTCATACAGCTATGTCTGTTTCTTGAGCTTTTATATAAAGCTCTTTTAAATAATATCCCAAGTCAGAGCTAAATCCATTTATATGCGTATGAAAGCCATATACTACGACCTGTTTATGATAAAGTATGACAGCAAAAAACCTAAAATAAGCATATGACATTCTGTATATTGAATATTTCCTTTTCTGTGCACAGAATTATTCAAAAATGTTCTACCTTTCTTTGACACAGTTGTATTTATAGAAATAGCTTCTGTGTTACGTGATAAGATGTATTGGAAGTAGATTTCCTTGGGATAGCTGAGCTAATGGACTTTGAGTATTTATCTCCAAGTTTATTAGCAATAATAAGTGAGGTATTTTGAGGCCTTATTAAAATTGGATAATAATTATACAATATGTAATTATAATTATATACAACAATGTAGCTGTATTAACTTAATTTTATAATTATGACTGTATAATACCATAAAGTACTCAGAGGAGACACCAGGATTGAAAATGGGTTGTTGCAGTAAGGCATGGAGGGCCTCACCTGGTAATCTCCCACGTTGGTGCTGGGGAGTTAGAACAGCTCTAAGTGGTTTAAATCTTAAGGTACTAACAAGAGTTTCCATGTCCTTTCTTTTTAAGGTGTTAATATTAGAACCAACCAAAATATACCAGCCTTCGTACTTGTCTATCAACAATGAAGTCGAGGAAAAGACGATCTCTATCTGGCACGTGCTTCCTGATGACAAGGTAAGCTGGGCAGCCACTAAGAAAAGAGCTTTAGCGAAGCAGCACTTCACACCCTTCGAGTATTTACTCTTCCAGCTCATTCTTGTGTTAATAAAGAAGTAGCTTGGCTGGATTATCATGGCATAAGTGCAGTCTGTAATATAAACTTGGGTAAATTTGGGCCATGAGTTTCACTCAGTTAATAAAATACTGTTGAACTATTTGGATTTTTATCATAAGTGGCATAACCATTCAATGGGTAATCAAATTGGTATGTTTCTGTGTCATAAATTAATGCTGTATATTAAATGATGCAACAAAAACTAATACCTAAAATATGTGTTGTAAAAGATGCATATATTAATAGGGAGCCTATCAAGATACTACTACTTCTAGTATTACACTGCTATCATAATAGTTTTTCTTATTTGTAGCTGGTTGGTTATCTAAGTAGCTCCTACGTCTTAGCCACTGACTCCGTGTGTTAGGCGCGAAACAAGACGGGCTATGCTATTTGTTTTCAGAAGGATCTTAGGTACTGTCTCCTTCCTTTTCATGGCAGTCGTGTAGAAAGCCTTTCTCATGTCATCAGTCTTACTGCGTGTTAGAGTAATCCTGTTTCATTAAAATAGAAAACTTTCCAGGATCTTAAGAGTCTACATGGTAAGCCACAGAAATGAGGGAAGGCTTGAGAGAAAGCAGTTCATTCATAGTACTCTTTGTAATAACTTTCCAAAATATCCTTATAATTTTCTTTAAACATCATTCATGCATTTATTCACTCAACAGATATTTATTGAACACTTATTCTGAGCTTGGCACTACCAGGAACTATGTAAGATAGAAGGGATGCAAGTGTGTACGAAACAAATAAGACATAACACTGACTGAGGGAGACAGTAAAACATATGCATGTTTTTATAATAAGGGAAACACAAAGCAAGAAATGGAATCAGGTCTATTCGATAGTATAGAGTTGCATTTAAATATGTTTTTTGAGTCAGTAGATCCAGGTTTAAAATTGATTTTTTTGTCCCTGACTGTGACCAACTTGGCTTCTCCACACTGCAGTCCCAATATTCCCTTCTATAGAATGGCTAATAATAATAATATCTATCTCAAAAGACAGTTGGGAAGATTAAGTGAAATAACACAGGCAGAGTGCTTTTCACAGAGCACTCTTACTATGATTGCTCACTGCTTAGGCAGACGCAGGGACCGGGGTTCCATCCCTGGTGTGCTGTGTAGGCCCTGCCCCCAGGGTACACTGAGATGGTGATTGAGACCCGGCACAGTAGTGCGCACCTGTAATCCCAGCACTTGGGAGGCTGAAAACGGGAGGATCACTACGAGTCCAACCTGTTTAGTGAGACCCTGTACACCCTGTACTAAATAACTAAATAAAATTAAAAAAAAGAAATAATCGCTTGATATGTCTTAAGAGCAATAACAACAACAGCAATAAAAATGACTTTTTATGCATATGAAGGCCATCATAATTTTGAAACTCCAAGATTTAACTATGTTTCACTCTTTGAACGATAGGGAGTAGCCAGTTGGGAGGGGTTTGGTGTTTTGTTGAGGCACAAATCTGGCTGACATCTGGACGGATGTGGTACCCTGTCCTGCAGGAGATCTACTGAGTTGGAATCTTTTATACTTAGAGTGGAGCTTGTGCACATATGTGTTATGAAGATGCCTGAGTGATTTGTGTGTGCACCCATGGCTGAGAACGACTTTGTGAGGGTACACTAAATTATTCAGCCGTAGTGGCTGAAGGATTCCTATGGCCTGAGCCTTACGACAAATCTGACTCCTACACCTAGTGCTTTTTAAAATGGGTCTCTGTCTCCCTGACGAGGAAGGCGCCCAAAGAACCAGTTCCCAGTGCAGATCCTCAGTCTGTACATCGCACAGACTGAGGGAAGGCAGAACTCACGTGTGTGGAAAGGCGCCTGGGATGCTTGACACGAGCATATAGATCCTGAGTAGCACCCAGAAGACATGTCTATGAATATGGTGTCGTGTCGCATCGCATCTTGTACTTAGTATTTTAGCAGGTGTGCTAAATGTTGATAACATGCAGAATAAACATGCACAACACCTTCCTTTCTCCACATCTGTCTAGTAGCATTGAGAATGACCTAGTGGCATCTTTCAGAATTTTTTTTTTTGTACCAGGGATCAAACTCAGGACCTTGCACTTGCCAGGCAGGCGCTTACACCACTGAGCTATATTCCTGGCCCCCTAGAATCATGGTCTTTTTCACACAGTTTGTGGTACATTGTCCTTGATAGCATCTTCACATACAGTTCTAGACAGCTTTAGGAACACTCACTCCATTACTGGGTTGTAGTAACTGAGGATCTGCACTCAGTACACCGATTTATGTATTCCAAATTAGAATCAGAAAATGGACAGTTTGTTTTTGTGAACACTTTCAATCATGCATATAAGCACTTAAAATCATTTGTACTTCTCACTTATTCATAATAGAAAGCTTCCTTTGATAACTCTTGTAACACACTGTCATAAGAGTAACATTATACACACTTCCTCAGTAAATGGATAAAGATTTTGAAAGAAGTCACTGGCCGTCACCCTACTGGTGGCTGGATTCTAAGTGGAATCATCCAGAGGCAAACCTGAGAATAATCAGTATAACTATACACGCATGCTATTAATATTGAAGCACATTGTTTTAAAGTATTTGTAGACCAGTTCTCACAAGGTCAAGTTTAGTCATGACATAGTGGGAAAGGAGAGAGGCTGAGAGAGGTTTTCACAGGCTTAATTGGAAAGAGCAAGGTTATCCAAGGACACTTGGACTCAGAACCGGGCTGGAGAAATTAGTGATTAGCAAGATGCAGAGAAGGAGTGGAGAGCCAGTAGAATTTGGAAGACAGAAAAAGAACAGAGAGTAAGCCAGAGACTTTTGGAAAATCAGCATGATTTCCAGCCAGCTGTTACTGTTTGCTCCTACCTGAAGTTTCTTCATTCAGTGAAGTGAGTCTTCTGTCGATTCTCCTGTGCTTTGTGACAGTTATAGATGTAATATTATGCTAAGAAATGAATATAGTAAACAATAATGAGTGTTATAAAAGGTTAAAGATTTAGTCTGTGAATTATCCGCCTTACATTTTTACCACTTTCTGATAAAGAATTATATTTACATTATTCCCATTCTCTATAACCTTCATATTAAAAATTCTCCTTCTTTATAAAGTTAAGGTTTTTGTAAATTAGTCTCCATTTTAATTTTATGTTGATTTCATAGCAAACCCTCATCCAGTCCATCGTGTATTTATAACACTGTCATATTCTCTCTTATAAAAAAAATAGATGTGGTAAAGTTGGGAGGAAGACAGGTGATAAAAATAGGAAAACCTTATTATTGCCATGTTATTTTGTTTATTTATTTTGGTACCAGAAATCAAACTCACTACCTCATACTTGCTTGGCAGGCACTGTGCCACGGAGTCATATCCCTGGCAACATGTTGGTTTAAAATTACTGTAAAACTATATTTAAGTAGGAGATAAACAACTAGTTGAATAGGTTGTGGAGTTAGACAGGAAATATATTGTTTTTATGTATAACATAAATTTTGGGGAAAAAGTAGAATAATGTTGCTTTTTATTGAATGTTAATTTGGGGGGGAAAGTAGAACAATGAATGTTGCTTTTTATTTGTCATATTTATTTCCTTGCTGTCTGAGTATTTTCACTCTAAAATGTGGAATGCACAGCTTTCTGTGTTAGTGCATACTTCCTGTTGCAATTTTTCAAAACCTTAAGTACTTTATATACCAGCTTTCTATTTGACTGTGCATGTATGAATCTGCCAAAATGAAATTCATCAGTTAAAAAAAAAATTAAAAGAACTGCTTTACATTCAACAGCAAAACTGAGTCTCAGCCTTTTACAGTTCCTCCTTAGGTAGTTACTGCTTAGAGTCAGTTAATACTTGAAGCTGGGGAGATAACTGAGCGGCTTAAGTACCTGCCCTAGCAAGTACAAGGTCCTCAGTTCGATCCCTGGTACAAAATATACACATGCACATACACACAATTTGATGGAAGTGTGCCTGGATACAATTCAAGAGAAATGTAGGCTGAAGAAGACAAGTTGCTTGTAAGATGTTTCGATGGGTTGGTGTTTAGAGTCTCCTTCCTTTCAGACTCAAAGTCCACGCATTCTCGGCTTATCTGATGGCTTCTCAAGCACAGGTAGAAGGCAGCAGGGTCCAGTGGAGCACAAAGGGTGCCTCCCCTTCCACCCTAGCTCCAGTCAGTGGCCCTTGGAGAAGTCCCAGGAAATGTGTGAGGGGTGCGTGTCACCCCAGATTCTAGAACTCCCAACTATAGTAGCTTAAATAATAAGGGGATCCTGCCTAAGGCCCTGGGTTTAGTCCTCAACACTGCAAACAAAACAAGGACATGGTATCCCAGAGAGGAGAGAGGGATAGGCCCTTTCCATTATACGGAATGATGTTATCACTTGGTCATGCCTAACCAATCACCAGCAAAGGAAATGGGCTTACTGTGGCCTTTTTTTTTTTTTTTTTTTTGTCTTTTTGAGCCAGGGTCTCACTATACAGTTCAGGCTGGCTTTGAGCTCACTTTGTAGCCCAAGCTGGTCTCCAACTCACAACAATCCTCCTACCTTGCTGGGATTACAGGCGTGTACCACCACACCCAGCCTACTGTAGCCAATTTAAATAAATCATTTTCACTGTCCCACCTGAACCTGAACAAAATTCATTTGTTGTTAGCGATGGAGAAAAAGACAACAGCCAGCGCCTGCCTCTGTGTAATCTCTGCCACCCAAAGTCTGTGTGAGCTCCAGGTTTTTATTCTTGTCCTGACTGGAGTGCCAGATCCAAGGCTGGCCAATTCCTAGAAAATGGTGCTGCTGCTGGTTGAATAGGGTTGAGCATTGGTTTGGTCCTGCTGGAGCTAATTATGACTCCCCTTCAGGCCTTTCCTTTTAAAGCCTAGACAGTCCTGAGAGCCTTAGCTCCTCCTGGGTTGGCTGTGTGGCTCACCAGAGGACTTCCGTGTGGTGAGTCCCCCTAGCAGGATTGGTGGGGCAGAGGCCTGATGTGCTGGAAATGCCATACTCCTTTCCTGCGAAACCAGCCTAATCAATCTGGGAAATCTCTCCTTAGCTGCCCCCAGGTCAGGGCGAAGGGAAGCGAGATTTACCAGAGCTACCTCGTCAGTGTTTGCTGTTCACTGTCGGGTTCACAGGCTGCCCGGAAGCTCTGTGCCCAGTGCCTTCCTCCTCATCCTGCACGTAGGCTTGCAAAGCAGCTCCGTTGCAGCCATAGAGGAAAAGGCAGCACTGTGTGCATGCAGTGTGCGGGGAACAGCTGCAGCTCCTGGGTCACGTGTGTATTTAGAAGTTCACCTGAGGCCGGCAGGATTTAGAAGCAACTTTCCACATTACTGGCTCTGGCTGCAGGCTGCTATTCTAATTAGCATGAGCATCTTTCTGTGGTCTGTCTTCCCTCCTTGGACTTCACGTTCAATAAAATTTGCTCTGGGGTAATTCAGGTCATATCCTTGCAACTTGACTAATGTGTGTTGAAACTAGTTTTTCAGTAAATACATTGGGTTCAGAAAACCTATTTTTGTTTTAGGTTGGGTGACCCTAGTGAAGAACTAGGGGCCATGGGTATAATTTGTGGCTTTATGAGTAGCTTTGGCCAAGAAGGGAGTTCTGGGCCCTCTTAGAGGAATAGAGTCTGGTGGTTACACATTTCTCTACCCCAGGCAAGACCTCAGCCTCCTGGCAGTCAGTGGATAAGAGTTTGTTTTCCTGGTTGTTTTACTGAGTTGAATTTCAGCATGAATTTATCACTGCGGTATACTTACGTGATATAGACACAGACATCAATTATTTGTATAAACACATTCAGGCTAAGAATTGTATGTCACCAGTCCTATTTTATAAGGAATATGATTAGGATTTAATTAAAGGACATATGAATTTGGTATTAAATGGAATAGCCTTAGTATTAAACTCAAAATATGAATTCTTGCCTTTTTATTCAAAACTGGCAAACCACCCATATGTATCATTTACTAAAAAATTACTGTGTTCACACTTTCTTAGCATATTGAGTTTTGAGTAAATTAGGTGACCACACCTTGTGGCTAAGGTGGGCCCTACCTTTGCACACAAATAACTGATTTCTGAGGAATTGGACCCACAGTTTAGTTGGAAATTTTACCTAAATGTAATTCAGAAATCATTACCATGAAAACTTTGCAGGGATTTTTCTTTCTCAAAAAAGAAATATTGCTTGACTATAATAATTACCTTACCTTAACCACTGTTTTTTTTACTCAAAAATTAATGTGCAATAGTTATTTCTAGAAATCAAGCATTAGAATTCAATGAGAGTAAATCTCCGAGGCTCTTTTGAAAGCTGTTTCATTAAAGTATAGAAATTATTAAGTGAAAAATCATCTTTGTGAGTTATGAATAAATGGCAGCTTCCACCAGATAATTTGCTTCTGAAGAGTTATGCACTAGAAAAAAATGATTTGACATGTTATTAAAAGTAATAAAATGATTATTTTGTGATTTTATTTTCCATTTGGATGACTAAAATTTTGTTGTTGTTGTCATTGTTCTTCTGTGTTCTAGAAAGGTATACATGAGTGGAATTTTAGTGCTTCCTCCGTCAGGGGAGTGAGGTAAGTCTCTGGTTGGTACATTTTGTTTACTTAGAAGATATTTTTCTGGGATATTCATAGCATGAATAGGACTCTTGTTTATGATTTAAAAGCACAAAATATTTCAAGAATTTTTCTACTGGTGGAAATGGCCAGACTTCTTCACTCTTATTGTCTCTGCTTTAAAGATGGCCACAAAGGTAGTCACACTGACTCTGTGCTTGTCGCCCATTAAAATATGATGACTTTGGGGGAAGTGAGAACTGCGGAGCAGAATGAAGATGTGGGTAAGAAGATCCATGTGGAGGTCTCGCTCGCAGCCTGAGCTTCTGGGTTCTTTTGTAGAATGGTTTTCAGTCCTTTAGGTGCACTGGGAACTGCTCTTCCCTTGAATGGTTCCAAAGCACACAGGCCGTCTACAAGGCTGTGTTATGCAACTAATATTAATGGCATGAGATTATGAAAAAAAAAAAACCAACTTTCCTAAGGTCACTGTTAATCTTGAGGACAAAGTGGCTTACTTCATTCAGGCTTCATTCTGAAATTATTGTCCCCATGCCAGTGGCTCAGAAAATGCCATTTCTTGGGAACTAGGAATAAGATTTAAAAAAAAAAAAAAAGTCAAGTTGGGCTGGGGAGATAGCTCAGCTGTCTAAGCACCTGCCTGGCAAGTGCAAGGACCCAAATTCGATTCCCAGTACCACATGCTGTTCCAGCTTCGGGATCCTGGGCGCACCGTGCCAGCGCTGGAAAGGCTGAAAACAGGAGGCTCACTATGAGTCCGAGCTGTGTAGTGAGACCTTGTACCAAATAAATAAATAAATCATTTTTAAAAAAAAAAAGTCAAGTCACTGTGTAAGAATTCAAGCACTTGCCCTGTAGCAGCTCCTGCTAAACCAGCTCTTGCTGATTTCCAACCAAGTTAGTTATGTTTACTACTGTTTGTCCTAACATAATAGAAATGGGAGACTGCCGAGTTATGCAGGCCAGTTATGTAATATCCTGTTGGTTTTGTAATAATAGTGATTGGCTTTGTTAGAACTTGAACCGGTAGAGAAGACTGAGTCACCAATAATTTTAGTTTTCCTGGTAGATGGGACCTCCTCTCGCTACCTGTTACCTCAGTTACCTCAGGAATGATCTGAAAAGAAACCAGCAAGATTATAGACTGGGGCTGGAGAGATGGCTCAGTGGTCTAAAGCACCTACTTGGAACAAGCTTGGCAAAGCACAGGGACTGCAGTTCAGTCCTCCAGCACCACATGCCAGCCAGCCGCGCCCCCTGGTGGGCTGAGCTGGCCACACACACACACACACACACACACACACAATGTTAAAATTAAAAAAAAATTTAAAAAAAAAAAAAAGATTATAGACTGACTCATATATCTTTCCAATCAACATCTTTTCTTTTAATATGTAATTTTTAAAACCAGTCACTAGCAAGGCACTCATTTGTTGCTACATTTTAGTATATTATATTGCTACTTTTAGTATAGCAAATATAAATTTCACTGTATCAATTCCGTTTTCCAATAAATTAATCTTTAATTAGATCTGGCAGGCCTATGTAGCAGTCATTCTGATTTGTGACATATACGCAACATGCTTCAATCTAGTTATTGTTGGTTTATGTTTTGGCAAACTGGAGTTCTGGTCTGGGACTTCAAAGGGCACACTATCTTTTCCTGGCTTCCTCCTCCATAACTTAGAGATGATGAACTGCCGAACAAAATCCAACTGGGTCAGCGGTGTGTGTGTCTTGCATCATCTCAGAACTTGCCAGGCTCCAGTCAGTGGCATTTATTGAATGCTAGCTGTGTGCCAGATGTTGAGTCCTGCTCTGTTATGAGTACAAAGATGACTAAGACAAGAGCCAGTTGGATACTTTTTGTCTCTCTCCCTTTCTCTCTCTCTCTCTCTCTCTCTCTCTCTCTCTCTCTCTCTCTCTCC